TCAGGGTATAGCAGAAAAAGCCGTTTATTTGTTACAATTGGCCTGGTTCTTTCCTAAGGCTATTCCTTCTTTTGCCTTCGAGTGCATGACAGCATATTGGACAGCAGGAAAACAAGATTCAACTCAGTATCATTCGGAAACCTCGAAAGTGATACGGTAATTAAGAAACTTACGGCATGAGCGACTGTGTGGTGGTGGTGATTACGGAATTCTTCCTCGTTTTCCAATCACCGATATGGAACGGAATGAGTATGAACCTGAAACAAAATCTGCTCGTAAAGACGAAAGGAAGGCTAGCTCTTATGAGTATTTGCAGACCCACTGTTTCTTGGCTACTGTTTATACTTCTTCCCCCGCCCAGTCCAAGAACCGTTTGCGGGCTTTCTCAACAATGCTGTAGTGGCATATCTATAGTGAAACGACTCACCCATCGATGCAGTGGGTGAATTCCCAAGCGAATGTGGTGGTGAAAAACGCCGGCCAATGATACTTGCTTATATCCCCCGTGAAATAACCGGAGATAAAATAGAAATTGGTTAGTTTCACGACAAAAATACTGAACTGTAGACAAGATTGAGCGAAAGAACTTCAGCTCTTGTGAACGCATTCCTTTTCCGAGCTTCTGAAACACTTGAGGCTAAATGTTATACGAACAGTGTGCCCAGGATAAATTCATTCTAACCTTTACCGCGGTGCGGAACCGGTAGACAGTAAATAAGTCCAAGATAATAATGAGGATAAATACAGAGACACCGGTGCCAAAATCGAGTACCTTACCGAGCACGAAACCACAATAGTTTGGGGAGAAATACCAGAGATAGTTACTTGCATAGAATACAGCATAACATTCGTCTACTAAACAAGAACTAGTGTTTGTTTGATGGAGATGTTCATGGTCGCAACTGAATTGGTATACAGCGCCAACGCTTTTTTGACCATAACTCCCAACCTCCAACACTCAACAGGCACCTCTACTCATGCTTTTTCTAAGATGGTGATATCAACGGAAGCCCATCACTGCTCACTCACTCAGAAGTAAACAGTTCGTTAGCGTGGATCTCACACGAGTTCAAGGAATGGATGCAAGCCAGAGTCGAGCCGCTTCTCAACGGAAGCCAAATTTGAGTTTTTTCTTTGAAGCGGGTCGTATCTGAAGTTGGTGAAGGTTAAAAGGTTCCAACGGGAACTCAATGGGCAAAAACGAAAAGCAACCTCGAATGTCAAGCCAAACGCCATCTTTCATAATCGTCGAGCATTCCACTACCCCACTAGCCCTTACTTAGGGTCTTACAATTAGAGTTTGGGGGACGGTTCGTGGTTCCGGCCTATGGTTTGACCAGCATTCTTGTGTGAAGAGGAAGCTACGTGGGTATCCCTTCCCAAGCAACTCGCACGAAACGGAATAAGGTTGTGTAAATGATTAAAACAAACATTGCCAAAATAACTCCTGCCTCCAAAAGTTTCACTTCTCTGGAAAAATTCCTCCCCCATCTTCCCAGAGCCGCACATTTCAGTGAATACAAATCACTCTTTTTTCAAAATCACTAAACATGGCCGCTTTACTCGCACTTTTACACCTCTCTGTTACTAGACTCAATGTGCATCTTACTGTGCCGCATCCAAACCACCATTGTTAGAAAAGTTCTTGTTACGAAGATCAAGCATTTAATCTGTTGGGAGAATATAAGGCCGCGTTCATAGTTCGCGACTCGGGAGATTAGGATAGTAGGCGACAGGATATTAGGATAGTAGTAGAGTAGGAGATTGCGCTGACAAGATTGGATACGTATCGATTGAAATCGCTGGAGAGTAGTAGATTGGGCGACTTCAAGCGAATAGATCAATACATATCTATCTAATCTTGTCAGCGCACTATCCTAATCTACTACTATCCTAATCTCCTACTCTACTACTATCCTACTATCGTAATATCGCAATCTACTACTCTCCAGCGATTTCAATCGATACGTATCTAATCTTGTCAGCGCAATCTCCTACTCTACTACTATCCTAATCTACTACTATCCTAATCTCCCGTCAATACATATGTTTTTCATTGTCGCGTACTATCCTAATCTCCGGAGTCGCGAACTATGAACGCGGCTAAGATTATCACGTACCGTTGAAATACGGTATGAAATGAAGAAAGCCGAGAAACCAAACGAGTCCGATCCGATCATTATACTCGTGTTCCGTTTGGGACTATACAAAAAAAAATTCCGTAACTTGTTCAATTTGGCCAGGAGTCAACAACCAGTCTGAAAACAGGAAGATAAATTCCGACGTAGATTATTACTGGGTATCTATTCACCAGAAACGGAAGCATCTGAGGACTTGTATACTTTCGAGTTCAAACCGTCGTTGATCCATGAAATTTTTAAAATCTGGGCGAATATGGCAGGGATGACGCTGGCTTCATTAGATATCCTGCGCGGCGAGTACATCGTGAGCCCTAGGGCATAGAGACCAGGTGTGGTTGGGACACAGGACAGCCAATTACTAGTAGAAAATGGAGACTTGAAAAGGCTTTTGGTCGCAAAATTATTTCACTGCCTTCGTGTAGCATACATTATACGAAGTTATACGAATTATTTCTTCTGCATCTTTAGAACCCTATATAATTTTTAAGAGTTGTGATTTTTTTGTAATTTCAATTAATCGTTACGAAGCTGCGCACTATACGTGCCGCACTAATGTGGGCGGAACCAGGAGAACATCTAGGAATACGGCTATCTCCGCCCACACAGGTGCGGCGCGGTTGATTGGATAAGAACTGGGATAAAACCAATAAACTGACCTATTAATACTTGATATTAAATGTGAATAAACGCTTACATCCCAAATACCTATCATGAAGCCGCCAAAAAGTTTCGCGATAGGCGAAGTGTGCGAGAAACTAGACTGCCTGAAAAGTGATTTTGTAGTTTCAATTCAACTTAAAAAAAAGTTTTTAATCTCTAACAAAAGCGCAAGGGAAAACGTTATAGGATTTCCGTATGAGCCACGTCTCGGCACAGTGAATATCGAAGAAAAGAAAGGGAAATTTCTCAACAATTCCTTGTTCCAGATGATTTTTCAGACTCCACTGCGCACGATTAGGTGCATGGTTTGCGCTATAGGTATGGCTGGAGCGGAGCAGAGAGCATGGACCCAAGAAGACGATTCTTTCTGACATGGTGGCGTATGTCAGCATGCCAGGAAAGCCTACTTCACACGGTTCCCACCTTCACTTTTCGTAGACTCAGCCAAAATGTACAGCGCAAGATTTGTCGCTACGCTGCGCTGCGGAAACTCTTGTGCGGCCTACGATCAAGAATTGCTCCACTCTCAATCCTAGGGCCGATGTCAGACTTTGCGAATCGCGCGATTCGCTAGCGTCTGCGGTCGCGTCGCGGCCAGTGAATCACTCAATTGGCTGGTACCGCAACGCGACCGCGGACGCTAGCGAATCGCGCGAATCGCTAGTAGCGAATCGCGCGATTCGCAAAGTCTGACATCGGCCTTAGGGCGGCCTCTTACTGAAGCTATGATGTTCAGCTGCAAAGCGCTTCCCCCCTCCCCCTCGAAAAAAATTACCCAAGCCCTCCATTTTGTGGCTAAGCGCGTACTATTCGTTCCAAACTATCCTACTAGCAACTCCAGTCGAACAGCACCTTTCGATATTTTTCTTCCCATCGAGCGGCAACTGCTTCAAAGTTTTGGATGGCAAAAACACTATTCTGGATATAATACTACCAGCTGGCGCCGCACGCGTTGAGCGCACAGTACAGATTTGCGGCGATATGGGATGGGGCGACCTGAATTCTCGAATTTGGCCCAATACACTTCCGCATATTTTGACGTTCAGGCTGAATTCTATCCGATTGTCCCATGTCTCATCCAAAGACGGCCTTTTGACCTTCTCTCCTTCGTCCACCAATTGTCCTCCATCGTCGAACAATTGTCCGATTTTCCCGGTCTCGGACTGCCTCTGGACCGATTTATGAATCTCGTGGTAAACTCCGCCTATTTCTTTGCATGTCCCACCTATCTTTTTCTTCCTCGCCAACCTCTTCCCACTTTTTACCCGATCTCTGAACTGTCTCTGAGCCGATTTATAATTTTGGCGGCGAATCCTGCTTTTTGGTGTATCCTCCGCACACCATTAGAAATTCACCTCCTTTCCTTCGCCCACTTCTCTCCCAGTCTCCAGGAATACCACTTTTTTGGAAAGATTAGAAGTCCGCGCTCGCACTAGAGTCTATCTCACCACGCCTTTGTGTCAGGATTAGTACCGCGACGCTTTCCTCTTCCATAACTTCTTTCAGGAAATCATTCCGCAAATAACGAGATCACATTTGAACCAACGTCTCGATGTGTATTCGTAGATGTACAATGCTCCAGAACGTGCTTTTTCAATCATGAGAGAAGATCCGTATGAATTCCCGCTCGACCCATTACATCTATTGCGGGGTTATTTTCATCTGTAGTGACTCAGGCAGGAAATCAGATCCCTTCCTGTTGACCACTACCGTCCAAAGTTTCACTAATTAGCCAGGTTAGCCAGGTGCGTAATTTCTTACTTGCAACATTTACATACT